GGCCCTTAATTGTATGATAGCTTATGATGACTTTGAGCATGGCTCAGAGTCAGGTTCACCAAAAATCCGCATAACATTGTTCCTAAACACTCGCTTACACATCATGCAACCGAAATGCCTGTGATGCACTTTTCGTGTTACTACAGATAAAGCCGCGGGGCGCGTTATCCATGAATGTAGCCCGTTTTGTGGCACAGCGGGAGTCTAATTGTGTGACCACTTAACATAAGCAGTATATCATGACAAACACCAAAAGTCATTTTACTTTTGTTCACAGCTTGCACGTTTCTTGGCTATTGCTGAATGTTACTTAAAGCAGAAGAGCCTTAGAGTTTTTGTAGCATATTTCGATGTGCATGCATTTTATTTTATAATACGTTTTGATTTGCTTCATTCGTTTGGAAACTATTGACTCACAAAGTTCAAAATGTCAACTATGGAAACGCTCCCTACTTTATATATATAAATTATATAGTTTCCAGTCCTGTGGTGACTGAAAGTTGGGTTGAGAGGCGACTGTGCCTCTTATTGCTGGCCTTGGGCTCAGACAATGAAATAAGCCATCTAACGGCCAAGTGCCGGAGTGAATATTTATTTAAGCGGTTTACTGGAAGAACGCTTTTTAACCCTGCTTTGAATTGTTCTTTTTTGAATAATCGAAACAGTTAATTTTATTGGTTTTTCTTATTATATTCACTACTTTTAATTTGACTTATATGACACCAATCTTTAGCATGTCCTATCAGTACGAGTTAAAACACGAGACTGATCTATATTTTTACAAATCATAGCCTCACCGGCGTAAGTAGAGTTGCCCTTGCCAGGGCTGTTCCTTAACTTGTCTAGCACCCGATAATGAGTGTTGAATAATACCTTACATTAAGTGTTATAAGTTAACTTATATATATATATATATATATATATTTATATATATATATATATATATATATATATATATATATATATTTATATCTTGAATGTGCAAGATATTTCGAACTATAATTGCGAGACCTTGCAGTTGTTTTGTGTAACTTAGTAAGCGTTCGTATGTTATGTTCTTTTGTGAGCAACACTAATTTATTATTCATGTATTCAGTCAATGCATCTTCCGGTTGAGTTGCCATTGGATATTGCGTCCTGCTACAGATTTTGGCCAAAGTCAATGTCAACAATGCTGGTCGCAACGAGAATGCAGACCTTCAAAGGATATGGTTTTATGTCTTATGGCAATCGTAAGCGGATGAGCTGTATCGAAGCCGAGTCGATTGAGGCCTGTCCGTCTGTCTGTCTGTCTGTCTATATGTGTGAACCTGTCGATCCCAGGTTATAAGAGCTAGAAACTTGAAATTTTTATTAGGTCCGTGTATAGCACGCGCATATCGAATTTAATAACTGTTCAATAACTATTCACTTTTAATTATTCTCGAATAAAAACATCATTGAAATGCAGTTCATAAATTATATCTCAAACGTCTTAAGAGCCAAACTGTATTTAGTTTTATAAATATTTTATGCATAAAATATACATAAATCTAAATACAAAATTTGGAGGCTGCATTTCAATCATGTGTTTATTCGATAACAATTAAAGTCGAATAGTTATCGAATATTTGAAACAAACTTGACCTGCGCGTGCTATGCACGGACCAACAAAAATTTCTCTAGCTCAATAGATGCTGAGATCCACGCGTTCACACGTACGGACAGGCAGACAAACGAACAGGGCTCAATCGACTCGGCTTGTCGTCCTGATCAATAATATATATACTTTATGGGGTCTGCCACGCCTCCTACTGCCTTGTACATACATTTGCACAGAGCCATTATACCCTGATGAGCATAAGTTATTAAATAAAACGTTTGGCCAATTTGCAAAAACACATGTCAGCAGCGCCAGGCGCACGCATTTTTCCTATACATTCAAATGCGTGTATTCTTTTACATATATTCGAAGAATCGAAATTGCGATTGAATTATCAGCTGCTACTTAGCTCCAAATTTGCAACTCTTCGTCCAGTAGCTGCGTTGGTAGAGGCGACACTCGTGAGCGGTTAGTCCGTGGGTTCATCAACATGTAGGCGATGGAATAGTTTTTATTGTATTTTTTAAATTATTTAGTGGCGATGTTGGTAGAGGTGGTGCGCGTTGCGTAAAAATTGTGAGTTCGAATCTTGAAGTCGTAATGACGATTTTTATTTGTTTTTTTTTTTTTATTTGAATACTCGATACAAACTTTCTTATTTGTTTTATTTCTTAATTATGAAGTGGCGATGGCAAGGATGCAATGGATTATCAGCTGCATGTTCACCTATGCAAATGACTCATAAAGATTCTTTTATTATTGGTTCTTTTTTTGGGCTGTTTCAAAGTCTCATAAAATCGTAAACAAAAATGTTATAAAAGAAAAGTTACTATGCAGCCCAATTATTCAGTCAACATTAGCTCAAATACTTTACTACACGTGCGTTCTGCTAACTGCTAGCATTTTCTATTGCCATTCCATGGAGGCTTCAAAACAAAAAGTCAAATTGAATTACTTATGCAACAAGGCAGCGACGACAACAGTGGCAGCAGTAGCATCAGCAACATTTATACAATATTGTTACTATTTCATTTGTGGTAGTGTTTCAACATAACAGCGGTCCAACACCTAACACACCTGACGCTGACTCATCACCAACTATACGAAGTAGTCTTCGGTCAACCAGCGAAGTGAAAAGCTGTGGAAACACAAGTGCCAAAAGCATAGATTTGGGACTCTTCTTCAGCAGCTGAAATATTTGATTGCCGATGTTTTTTCCCAAGCGGACGACTCTGTCCGTCCACTTTCATTGGCCGTGCAGTGGATACACTCATCGCTGTGTCGCTCACATTTTGTGTGCTAGCTCCCGCTTAAAAGAAAGGCAGTCGCCAGAGGGTGGCTGCAGTAGATTCTGTGTCTAGCAAAATTTAAAGGCCGCAGGACATGCAATATAGATGTAAATAAAAATGCTGTTCTTGAACTGAGGTGCATTGGCAACAGCAGAAGCACTGCTCATCTCTATGACTGTTGTCTCCATCCCATTTCAAGATTTTGTCAGTGTGGTAGTACAATGAAGCATTGGTTTGCGTTGGCTGGGCTCCTGATTCGAACAATTTTCGGAGATGTTGCACTCTTTAATTAATAATTCTCTCATATTTTCGTCGCTTGAACTGTGTTAACCGCTCCCACCTAGCGTGTCTTGCCTTGTCTTTTATATGCCACGGACAGTCAGTTTAATCTGGTAATTAACTTTGTTAACGGGTTTTCGGTAGCTGAGCGTTATCTAAAATGGTCGTTGATGCCAACACACCGTACACTATTCCAATGCAAATGATTTGGCTCTTAGGTCTTTCATGAACATTTTTGGTAAATTCCTTTGTTTTTATGAATTCGCTAACAAATCTTTAATATGTTATGTGTTGTGTGATTGTCCAATAACTTAAAAAAAAAGTAAATACTAAATACCACTAAGACAGCTCTACCCGGAAGTGTCCGCCTGGAAGATTCTCTAAGGCTCGCCCTATCTGTTTTTATACCCTGATCCCATTGAAAATGGGTAATCAGGGAATAATGGAGGCAGAAGGAGACTAGGCAGACCGCATAAAGTAAATATATTATTGACCAGGACGACAAGCTGAGTCGATTGAGCCCTGTCCGTCTGTCTGTCCGTCCGTCTGTCCGTATACATAAACGCGTCGATCTCAGCATCTATAAAAGTTAGAACATTTTTGTAAGTCCAAGTATAGCAATCGCATATCAAGTTTGTTTCATATATTCAATAACTATTCGCATTTAATTGTTATCGAATAAAAACATGATCCAAATGCAGTTAATAAATTATATCTCTTACATATTAAGAGCTAGAGCCTCCACATTTTGTATTTAGTTTTATGTACATTTTTTTTATTTTTGTTGGATTTTGTATACCTCCTCCAAATTTCCCCAAATTCTTACAATTAAGTTCAGTTGGAAATAGAGCCATAATGTGAATATGTAGATCATATGCTATCATTAAAATCCATTAAGTAAAACAGAAGTTATTAAACAAAACGTTTGGCCAATTTGCAAAAGCACATGTCAGCAGCGCCAAGCACGCACGCATTCTTTTTTTTCGAAGAATCGAAATTGTGATTGAATATGCTTGAATTATCAGCTGCTAATTACTTCCAAATTTGCAACTCTTCTTGCAAGAGGTGCAGTGGCTGCGTTGATAAAGGCGGCGTTCGTGAGCGGTTACTTCCTGGGTTTGAGCCTTGTGACGGTGGGACATTTTTATTGATTTATTTTTTAATTATAAGGTGGAGGTGTTGGTAGAGTTGGTGCGCGTTGCGTACAAATTGTGGGTTGGAATCTTGGTGTCGTAATATAAATTTTTATGTTTTGTTTTTAATACTCGATACAAACACGGAAAATATTAAAATACGCAGATAGGACTGGGATCAGGGTATCTCCTAGTCGGGCACCCCGACTAGAGCTTTCTTACTTGTTAGTTTAGTCTAGACTCATTTCACTTTCTTATCAGCCACTGCATTGGTCGCTACAGCTAAGGGATGACATTTTTATTACTTATCGTAAGATAACGTTATCTTATGGTTTATGACATACGTGTATGTATGTGACATATTCATGCTTGAACATTAAACGTTCTGTAAGTTTGGTATATACCTATTTGGACTTTAAGGAAATACATATTTAATAAGAGTTGTACAGAGTTGTGGAGGTACAATTCGAATTAGTTTTGCGTATTGACTGAATGCTTTTCAGTTCTGGCTTGTATGGTTAAATAGGTGTTGCTGAGTAAGAGGTAAATAGATTCATGGGCCATTCGGACAGGGCCGTTATGGTTGTCAGCGGATGAAAAGACACACCCTTAATATGAAACTGAGCACGGTTGTAGAAGTATAAATTAGATCATTGCTAATTGACTATAATTTCAATGCAGTTTCAAATTGTAGAATTCCAAAAAGTTAAGAAATATTCTCAATTAAGTCATGTTAAATACTTCAAAACAAATACAATTTATTAGTTCTATACAATACTAAGTGAAATTCGTTAAAAAAATCAAAATCTTTTAAAAGTTGCGAATTCTTAATTGGCAGTTGTTTCTTTGAAGACAGAAGTAGCTTATGGCGAGGGTAGCTTATACCTGGCGTCAGCCACCATATCCGGGCGATCAAAGCGATGTCCAATGGGTAGATCCGAGCATGATCATTTTGTGTCAAAATGGAAACACCGATGTAGCAATTGGTCCGCTTTTGCAAACGCTATATGAGCCTATTGGCAGGGGGTTGATTGGGGCTGTATTTGTACACGAGACGATGCGAGAGCAGCTGATCGAGAAGGTGCGCAATAGGATGACTGTGATGCATCGTCAGGTCAAGGCCCACACTCTCTATGCCAAGGCGCTGCGTCGTGCTGAGTGCCTGGGGGCCGAGCTGATTACCATACTGAAGCCAGATGACATTGGGTTTAAATACAGCATGGTCGAGGGCTCACCGATTATCGTATGCGATTTCAACCAAAGCTACTTTAGCGCCAATCATCCCAGCACTGTGGTAACCCTGCACACATTCCGCCACACCCAGGAACTGGGCGAATTGGCTGCCAAGGAAAATCTGCCGTTTGCCAGCGCTGCAATCTGGTGCCCCAAAATGGCAACTGCCTACGAGATGGCTCTCATACTTCCCGTGCCAACTGTGTACATCAACTGCGCAGGTGTTAGCCTGTTGCCCATTGCCGAGAAGCATAAGAATCTGGAGCCCTTTTCACTGCTTGTTGGCGATCATCACTACGAGATGTTGATTCAACAAAAATTAGGCAAGATCATAGTCTTTCCGGCCCCAATTCAATTGTTCACTAAGTCCGCAACTAAGGCGTAGCGGTTCAATCAATCAATTATCTTAGTGATTTGTTCTCTATGATATATGTATCCTTCATTTCCTTAATTATATGATTAACTCCCATTTTTCTTGTGTGTCTCTCCACTAGCTTTGTATGAACTCTTACGCAAGAAGGCTGTTTCCTGCAAATGAACAGCAATTTGCACAATTTTTAAAGCAAAGTAAGATAAGGTTTTTAGCCTAGCGTCTCCCTTGGTGCTTTTCAAGCTCCCTTGTAAACGTGATAAATCATGTTGAGCCTAACTATACTACCTATCGCTGCATTGCGGCCAACTCTACCTTAACTAACGGTTTCGAACTGCCAAGCTGTCATTCATGGTTACGATGAGTTTTACTTAACTTTTCGTCACTTGAATGTTATTTGTGAACTTTTTTGCGCAGGCCTTAAAATATGTGTGCTTCGGTGTGTGTGCTTATTAAAACTGCTTGTTGGATTGCATTTGCTGGTGTTGTGTTTGCCAGCTGAGTTCCCCTTGTTTTGCCCCTTTTGGAGTACAAACCCCGCATCCAGCTTCACCTTTGGGGTGTTCATTTGTTATTGTTGTTTCGTTTGTTTGTTCGGCTCTCATGCTTTTAAGCATTTTATTACTTGCTGTACATTTCGCCTCCATCTTTTTCGATGTCAAACTTGATGCATTTCATTTCTGCGTGTGTATGTCGATGTGTATGTGTGAGGTTGGTGTGTGTGTTAGTGTACGTGAGCTTGGGTGTGCGCCTGGAACGTTGTTTTTTTGGCATCTTCAATGCCAATGTGACAGCTTTTATTTTGGCCGCCAGCAGCTACTCAATCCGCTTAGCCTCAATCCGCTTAGCTCAGCCTCCCAACCGTCCAAACTAACCATTCCATAGCCTTTTATTACAGCCGTTCAGCGCGTGTTGCACTTGCTCCGAGCTGAGTTCACTTGTTTTGCTGCTGCTAGCAGCGGCAGTATATATTATTTAGTAAGAGTCCGTTGCACCATTGTGTTGACCCAGTTGACGCTTCATCCATGTGCTGACCCAAATTTATAGGACACCGTCTCATTTGTCTTAAGAAAAATGTATGTCAAAGCAAAAATAAACAAAAACTATGAAAGCTTTAGTCGGGGTCTCCCGATTAGGAAATACCCATAACTTCGACCGATCTGCGTTTTTAATATGCTTGTATCTTGAATAAACTATTCAAATTTTTGAATTGCTTGTTCTGAAAAAAGGTGGAGTCAACTCCACTACCAACCAGGTCTCGAACCGTCTCTACCACTACCATCAATTCACTGCTTAATAAAAATAATCGTAATAAAAACAAGTAAGACAGCTCTAGTCAGGGTGCCCGGTTAGGAGATACCCTCATCCCAGTCCTATCTGCGTTTTTTAAATATTATCCGTAGTGTATCGAGTAATTTAAAAAAAAAACCAACAAGTAATACCAACACCGACACTTCATAATTAACAAATAAATCAATAAAAAATGTTCCATCGCCGCCAGGCTCGAACCAAGAGACTAACCGCTTACGAACACCGCTTCTACCAACAACGTCACTGCACTGCATGCAGACAAAGTTGCAAATTTGAACTTAAGTAGCAGCTGATAATTCAGCACAATTCAATCGCAATTTCGTTTCTTCGACTAGACAAAAATACATGCATTTGAATGTATGTGTGTACACGTATATGAAAAATGCGTGCTCGTGGCGCTGCTGACATGTGCTGACATGCAAAATGGCCAAACGTTTTGTTTTATAACTTCTGTTTTACTTAATAAAATAAAATATATATAAACTAAATATAAAATATAGAGGCTCTAGCTCTTAAGACTTAAGATATATAATTTATTAACTGCATTTCGATCATGAGTATATGAAACTAACTTGATATGCGCGTGATATACACGGACGAAAAAATTTCAAAAAATTTCAATTTCAATCAATTGTCGTCCTGTTCAAGAATATATACACTTCATGGGGTCTGTCACGACTACTTCTGCCTGTTACATGCTTTTGTACAAAACTATTATACCCCGATTTCCCTTTTAATGGAATCAGGGTATAACAAATGCAACAGACTGTATATCTTAAAGTTTTATTGCCAGAATTATTGAGCTACCGTTGACCTCCTCTATAGCTGTACCCTTTGGAAGCGTGGTGTATAGAAAATATACTGTAATTTTCCAAGTTTTTACAGCCTTAGCTCAAAAATTTGACAGTTACATTGTTGTAGACTTATTCTAAGGGTATGTTCAAAATATTTATGTACGCTCCTAATGAAGGCGAAGGCAATCCGATAATCCTTGACCTCAACAGTTTTGAAGCAGGCAGCGCTTCGGTCGTAAATGAGTTATGCAGTCGGCAGCGTTCCACCGCAACATTCTTACATATTCATTTTGCACTATTGTCACTATTGCTTAGCCCGACACTGAACCCAAAAATCCAAATACTATTGATTTGAATGGAAGTTTTTTCGACTTTTTTGCCAAAAAAAATTAAAATATGCATTGCTATGTCGACACAGCTCGTCGCCCCGATTAAGAAGGTCAATAATTTATTAGACCTCCTTCACAAAAACATAATACCCTGAATTTCCATTTTAATATTAATTTACTTTTGTCCTGACTGAAACAATTCCAATTTTACCTGCCTCAAAAGCCAGTCCTAAACGGGATGCATTCTTAGCTGCACTCAACTCCTTGGTATTATCATTTTAACCACCATCATCAACTACTGCTGCTGCGTACTACCAGACCAAAGATAAGCTGCATCAGCTGTATGGCGCCGTTGCTGCTGCTGCTTATGCTGATGCCACAGTGTTGCATAGCAATTGCTGTAAAAATATGTCGCCTTGGCCAGGCAAAAGTCAATTTGCCAAATTTGACAAGGGTTTACTAATGGCTTTAGCTTTTGGCTTGTATATCTTGGAAAGTCTTTGGCATTTGCCGGCCAACGCCACGGCCATTCGCTAGCAAGCATTCACAATTGAGGACCAGCCAATTGCAAGTTTAGGCACCACCCTGCCCACCAACCCCCTACACAAATAATTGAATTTTCTAACCGTTGCTATTAAATATTAGTTTCAACAAATTTGTAGAAGTTGAAAAATTGGCACCCCACTCTCGTTTGGCGAGTCCAAAAATCGGTGATCCCTCAGCACAGAGGCCATCGCAGCTATTGCTTCTTTCTGATAGCCTGAAGTAATCGATGCAATCGCTAACCAACAAAGTTGTTAAAAGGAGGCGTTCGACTTGTTTGCGTTGCTTTTGCTTTTTATCGAAGTTTGTTCAGGTATCAAAACCATAATTTATGGAGTGAGTCTATATTAAAACGTGTTTATCAGTAGCTTCATCTTTAGCACATAAAAAATGCATCAGAACAACCAACACAAAATTCAAATAGCGCCGTTAAAAGGCCGAGTAACGTCCAGGCACATGCAATGTAAATAACATTTCTTACTCTGGACTCATTCAAAATATGTAAGTTAGGGTTAGTTAGTTATGTAACTGTGTGCTTACTAAAACGATTTATTCTAAGTACAAATTGTTCAAGTAAGAACTTTTCAATAAACTCTTTACACACCGAAAAAAAATAGATACAAAACTAAACGCCTTTTATTAATATTAACAAACATATTTAAAATTTGTTGGTTTTGAACAAGATCATATAAGAAGAATGCAAAACTAAAAATTTATAACAAAATAAACGACAAAATTAAAATTATTTTTGTTTCAAGCTGTCGAGAAACTGTTATCACATTTTGTTCTGCAATTTGGACCCCTTAGCTTTTAAGCCGTACGAGATATAATAAATTAGCTGCATTTCGATTATGTTTTTAGTCGATAGCACTAAACGGACATAGTTATCGAATATTTGAAACAAACTTGATATGCGCTTGCTATACACGGACCTAAAAAAAATTTCAGTTCATTGCTCTTGAAGATGCTGAGGTCGACGCGTTCACACATACAGACAGACTGACACACGAACAGCTTGTCGTCCTGATCAAGAAAATATACACTTTATGAGGTCTGCCAATAGATAGATCTAGAGGAGAGGATAGAGGAGGTCAGAGAGCTCTACAACATTAAAAGATACAGACTTTTAACTAATTAACTAACGATTTAACTAATTTTTGACACACTTTCACTAAGTGTATATATACTCTAAATGGTTTGCGTTCTTACGATCAGACAAAACCCATATACTCATTTAAATTTGTGAGTATAAGCATTTAAAAAAAATGAATATCTATGATACAAAAATTTAATGAAATACGAGTCTATTCACATACTGACAGTTGTTTTAGGGTGTAAATGCAAACAAAATCAGAGTTACTAGCTCTAAATACATTCAGACCAGCGTTTTATTTAACCGAACCCCTCAATTTAATCATATAAAAGAGTTGCTCAGAGCACAAAGATCTATGACAAGAAAAACTCATCTATTAAACAGAAAATAAAGAGTAATTCATCTCACATGAGTCGCAACTCAGATTCTTTAAGCCGCTTCTCTCTTGGACTCATCATCATTTCAATTTATTCAGCTGTATTCGCAACCCTCTCTCTCTCTCTCTCACTGTCGCTCAAACTTTAGGTTTCTTCCTGTGATTACACTTGACTATGATGTTATTTAGTCTTGTATTCTCCGGCTGTGTCCAAGAACTTGCGGATATTGCTTTCATCATTGTTCTTAAGCAGTTCCATTTCCACTATTCCACATATATTTTCTCCTTAAAGTTGATGGTCCACGACACCGATTTTGATCAGCGTTAGATGATTGGCAGATGATTCTGCTAATTTATCAATGACTGGTAAGGCATCCTTGTTTGTGATGCTCTGCCGGATCTTTTCATAGATCTCTGATTGCTTTTTGAGCAACTCAAGCGTTTTCGCCGAGAGCATTTTGTTTGTGTTGTTTCGTGAAATTTGTTCTTGATTTAGTCTTTGGCTTGACCTGTTGGAGGTGTTTTTGTTTTGATCGCCTGGTTGATTGTGCTGTGCCTCTACTCACAGCTTGAATTGGTAAGCCAAAGAAAATCATTTAAACAATTGTGTACTTCACTTTTACACTTATCACAAAACGTAGCCTTGT